TGTGCCTCTTTGTCGCTCGTTCCGCGCTCTCGCTTGCACTTCAAGCCTTAAATGGAACGCCTCAGAGCGAGGTAACGCCGCATGAGTCATGTTTTTTCGTGCGTGCAGCCGGCTCCATCGAATTATAAGACGTTGTCACGTCAGAAAAAGTGAAAATGTCAAAAATAAATTAAAATAGCATCAACTCACAATAACAACTGAAGTGTAGCACGTAGTACAGTTTTTGTGACATTATGTGATTATAATGCTTTACGTTACTTTTTGAAAGATATTAAAAATTAAAAATGAAAATCAAAATTTTCTGGATTGTTTTAATTTTTATTTCCAGGATAATTAAGAACGCGGCGAGTCTTTTATGCATAAACAACCTAAGAAAATGTATTTTTTTTAATTTATAAAAACTTCCAACGTCTACGCCTTTATCAAAGAATCTCGTGTCCGCCTTTCAAGTCGGAAATTATTCATTAAGAAAATTTTTCCTTACTCATTAAGGAATACATCAATATTGATGTAGATCTAGAATTTTTAAAGTACGAGCAAGAATGTGTTTTTTTTCGTGGGAAATAGAGTCCCTTAAAATTGGATATAAATTAGAAGATAATTAATTAGCCAACAAACTTGAAAAGTGCACAATTTTATATTTATAAAAATGTCGTTAAATTAATCTAATATGTCTATTTTTTAATCTATTTGTTTAGGGGGTACATCTGTTAGTCTGGTAATGGACTATTATGAATCCATATGTGGGTGCGTTGATACTTGAGCAACGTGGGTTTTTTTAAAAAAATTAAGATTTTTTATTTTTGGCGCCAATTATTATTGAATGAATACACATATTTCCCGTGATATATGTACAGTTTAGAAGTATGATTATTCTAGATAGTTATTGTTCGTGATAGGATAAAGAAAGTAAAATTAAAATTTTAAGAATATTTAAACGACCACGTTATTGAAGGGAGGTGGAGATCATTAAGGATAAATACATGGTAGGGTGTCTAAAAAGTGCTTAGAGTAGAGGGCTTCTCTAAACATATCCGGGATTTTCATATAAAAATGTATTTCCCAGTAGTAGTTCCAATAATTCCGTAAATGGTTCCGAAATTGAAATGTTTTTTTATATCAAATTTTCATTTTCCACAACCCACCCCTTATAACGAATCGAATCGAATAGTAATTATTTATTATTGTTGATATTGCCGGTCTTAGCGAACATCGACCGCTGGTTAATCTCCTAATTCTTTTAGGAGATTTATCGGCATTTTCTCTTCATCGTTTCCGATACGTTGTTCGTCAGGGGGTTGATGTGTTCATGACGTAATCATATGTACGTTTCAGGACTTTTAGTCTAAACGTTATGTGTGGTACCAAATCTTAGACGTTCGATAATCAGTAATGTTTACATTCTCCATCCATGTAGCTGCGGAGTTTTTATCGCACTGCGCTATTCGGTAGACACTTATGTTGTCAATTCACACACAGGACCGGCTTCAGATGGTAAATTATTGCGATTTTCATAACAAAACTACCGTACGATTGTTTATGTATCTCAAACGCCCTGTAAGTAGGTATTGTTTAATTCGAAATCCTTAATAGTTTCCATTGAAATGCATCGTTTTTCTATAAGATTGTGCTTGGTTACATTAACGTGTTATACTTTTCTAACAAATTTCCTGGGTTTTAAGAACAAATAGAGATGAAAGCGGTTATGTAATTAGTCTGTTGTTTATAAATACAGACCATTCTGCCCCGGACAGCATTATGTTCCACTTATTCGGACTAAAAGTATACAAAAGGCTTTGTGAGAGTTGCTTTTCTTTGCAACACACCACGCAACTGGAAGCTCGTCTCGTTAGAATTGAATGCCTTTAAATTTAATATTCTTTTATGTAGCAGAGTGTACAGGTGACATTAAAATGTTTCGTTTTCAACAAACGTCATGTACAAAAACGAGTTTCATTAAATTTTAACGCGAGAGTTAATTCAGCAATGAGACGCTGTCTTTGTACGTACCTACTACATACCCAATTTTTTTTTGTACATTTCATTAATTACTCAAAAGCGTCAAAAGGCACGGCGCAAAATTGGAAATGGAATTGAAGAATATTTTTATAATTCTCGGAAAAAATTACGGGTAAATAAAGTAAAAAGTACTTATACACAAAATATAAATAAATTTACAAAATTAAAAAGACATTTTGTACGACAGGTACCGCTATCGATAGTGTACAGCTTATGCATTTTAATTTTGGCGATTTTTGGAAAAATTATAATCAATGATGTAAACGAATAAAATAATTCGAAGTTGCCTGTATTCTGTCGAAACTGCCAGGCGCGGTTCGCGATTTCGATCTTTTTGGATCTCATCAGCGCGTCGCAGACAGCTCCGACAGAACACAGACCAACTTTTACCTGCTGTCTTAACAGCGCGTTTTAGAAAATACCACAAATAGCGCGGTAAACGCCATCTGTAGTACGATGCTACATTTCAGTATTACGTTTGCTCCAACAAGGTCCATTTAAATATATGGATATCTACTTGCTGAAACGTTAAACATTAAGAATCTAATAGGTATAACATGTCATGCAATCAACTATACACTAGAATGTATAGGGTTGTTTGGAAAGTCATTTCGTCTCTTTTTTTGTGGAAATGAAAGACAGTTTTCGTATAATAAACAAATACTTTATTAAATTATATATTGACCGTTCTGGTCCAACACCTTTTGCCATCTTTCTGGTAGTAGCATAATTCCACGCTCATAAAATTTTTGGTCTTTGCTGGCAAAAAACTGATCGAGGAGGTTTTTGACCTCCTCATTTGAGGTGAAGGTTTTACCGTCTAAAAAATTTTGGAGTGACCGGAACAAATAATAATCCGATGGTGCCAGGTCTGGAGAATATGGTGGGTGTAGCATTGTATCCCATTCAAGCTGTAAAAGCTTTTGGCGAGTGACCAAACTTGTGTGAGGTCTCGCGTTGTCTTGGTGAAACACTACACCTTTCCTGTTGATTAGTTCTGACCTTTTCTGTTGAAGTGCATCATTCAGTTTGTCCAGCTGATGACAGTAGACTTCCGAATTAATCGTTGTGTTATCCGGTAAAAGCTAAAAAAAAACGATTCCTTTAAAATCCCACCAAACAGACAGCATCACCTTTTTTTGGTGAATATCGGCTTTGGAAATGGTTTGAGCCGGTTCATCTTTTTTGCTCCATGACCTCTTGCGTTTGACGTTGTTGTATACAACCCATTTTTCGTCCCCAGTGATGATGCGCTTCAAAAACGGATCATTTTCGTGACGTTTGAGAAGCGAATCGCAGACGTCAATGCGGCGACACAGATTTCTCTCTGTGAGAACATGGGGAACCCATACATCGAGCTTCGAGGATAATCCCAGGCCTTTCAAGTGGTCATAAACTGTTGAATTTGATAAATTTAACCTCAATCCGATCTCACGTGTTGTTATTCGCCGGTTCACATCAACTAATGCCTTTATCGCGTCTTTATCAGCTTCAACCGGCCTTCCCGAACGTGGTGCATCTTCGACATCAAAATTGCCGGATCGAAATTTAGCGAACCAGTTCTGGC